TTTCAGTCACAATAGAGTACAGAATGGTTCTATATTCATAAAACTCTTGATAATAGAGCTTATAAATTATGAAACCAACATGACCAGGTATTACATAAAACTTTTAATAGTACTCAACTGAAGTCTTATCACAGTAGAGAAGAATACTTTGAATCAAGAATAATTATTAAATATATAGAAATACTAATAACAGAGAAAGAAAATAAAGAATAGATTTTTAACCTCATGATATTTATTTATTTACCTCTTAATTTACATAAATTTTATTTAGTAGTATATATATACATACATGCTGATCACTTATTAAAAATTTCATTTTATAAGTATAGGACTTTCACTTCAATATTTTTATTAAATTTTTATACTTTTAATTATTTTTATATCCTTATTAAATAGCTTAGTTTTTTGTTAGTATTTAACTCTTTAAAGATGAATATTTTTTTTAGCAATTTCAATTTTATTCAGAATATTTTGACTCTTTATCAACAATTGAAAAACAATAAATTTAGTAGAACTTTACAAATTTGAGAAGATCAGTTAATACTTGAAAATAGTAATCAAAAAGTAGTATATGATCTTATTACTGAAAGATAACTTAATACTAGTATAATTTAGAAATATCTCAAGAACCTGAACCAATCATAGAAGGAGCCTAACTTCAACAAGTAATCTACAAAGTACTCCTAGAGTAAAATAATTTGTAGAAATAATCAATACTAAAATTTCAAAAATAATAATTATAGCAAATATTACTTATCAATTTCAATCTGAGCAAAGCTGAAAGACAAGAGTTCAAACTATATTCAATGATATTTTTGAAAATTATGATAATCAATCTGATGAATTACAATTTATTAGATATTATTACTTTGGATAATTATTAAAAGAAATATTTAAATAATATTCAAGAAAATTAATAGAACTGTAAAGAGAAATAGCATAATCAAAGAAATTATTTTGATCAGAAGATACTTTCTTCTTGAAAAATGAATTCACCAGCTATTAAAAAAATGTGAACTTAAGAAAGCATATAATTTCTAATAAATTACTTATAATGACTTGATATATATAAGAAATAAAGAAATTAAAGAAATTTTAAAAAGAATTTAATAGTTTCACTAGAGCTCAATCTTACTTAGAGAAACCAAATATTATTATAGTAATATAAATTTCTTTAATTTTATAATTTTTCAAACTTGAAAAATTTAACTAATTAATTGATCTTTAGAAGATATATGATTTTAAATAATATAATTGGTATATCAGTTATGAATTCAATCATGATTCAACAATATTCTTGTAATGTTCTTGTAATATTTTTACAACATTCTAAGATAAATAATTAGCTCTGAAATTAATAACAATTCATAAATAGTTCAACAACAGTTCAGAAATACTTTAGAAATAGTTCATTAACAAATTTTATTTATTTTTATTATTTATCTTTTCTTTTTAGAATATATTCTTATCTTTTTATTTTATTTCATCATTTGTATTATTATTTAACTTACTACATATATCTTATCTCTTATTTTTACTTATTCATTTATTGATACTTTGCCTCAAAGATTGTAATTATAATCTAGAGTAGCAAACAAATTTAGATAAAAACTTGTAAAATCTTCAAGATATATTAATATCTCTGCTCTAAGATCTGAAATAAATGTATTTGAATAGTAATAATTCAATTATCTTTTAAAAAATACTTGAGTTATACTGTTATAATATAGATTTTTATATATATTTTATTAATATTAGTTATTTTATACTCACATTTTTATTAAATAATTATTTAGTTATATTTTATTAAACAATAATTAAGATAGTATTATTGATAAATATTTTTAGACAGTTTTATAAGTATAATGTTCATAACAAAATTATTATAGCAAAGTTAGCAAAACTATCATAATAAAATTAGCAATGCTATCATAACAAAACTGATATTATGACACTAGCAAAAGTAGTATTTAGATTATAACAAAAGTATCATTTGTAAAACCTCTAAAATATATAAAAGTAATATATCTTAGTTAGAAATAAAATTAATAAATAATTAATGAATAAAATAAATAAAAATAAATTAATAAATAATGAATAAACTAATAAATTAAATAATAATAAGATGAAATAATAATTTAAATATAATAATGTTATAAATTAATGATCTTTATTAATAATACCTTATTTATTATAATATATTTCTTATATTATAATCCCAGATCACATTCTAGCTGATCATGTTATGAACATACTCTTGTTACCTATCTTTAATTTTATTATAATTATAGTTTAATATCTATTATATTATATCTTTGATTATATTAGTCTCTCTTACTTATAATTAATAATATCTTTATTATGTATTATCTTGATAAATATTATATATAAAGTTATTAATCTATCATAAAATAATCTTTTCAAGAGGTATCAAAAATGATAATAATATATCTTTTTTATTGAATTATTAAAAGCTTTATATGCTAGATATCAATTATCATTATAAAAAAATTATTAACAAAACTTTTGGATTAGAAAATTATATGAATTATACTTAAACTTTAAATATATTTTTTAACAAATAAATAATTTAACATTAGGTAAATATTATTTAATATTATATTTTATAAAAAATTATATATAAATTTTTGTAATTAATTTTGCAAGCTAATTTTTTAAATATAAATTACAAATTTCTAAAAAATTTTATTAAGATTTTTTATTTTATATTGTAATTAAATTTATTCTCTAAATATTAAAAAATATATATATAAATACTTATATTATTTGAATAATTACTCAATTCATTATAATCAAAAAATTAAAGTTCATTTTTTATACATTACTATATATATAAATTATATATTTTTTTCTAAAATATTTTTTTTTGAAGTTTATTAAAAATATAATAACTTTAAAATTTTTTATTTTTTAATTTTTTTCAAAATATATATTTATTTAATAAAAATATTTTTTTTTATCAATCTTAATTCAATATATATTTCTTTGATCTATAAAATTATATTATACTTTTTGATATAATATAAATAAGAATAATTCTATTTTTTTAACTCTTTTTACATAATATTATATTAATAAATTATAACAAGATCATATAGATCCTTTGCTATTTCTTAAAAAAATCTTTTTTTCAAAATTGTTAAATTGAAATTATATTTTACTATTCTTTAAATTTATATTTATCTTTCTATATCAGATATCTTTATTTAAGGTTGGTGCCAACCGAAAATAGTAATCCAGCTGAATATGCGTTTTGTCTTGGAAGTTCTATCTTGTAATCTATTTAGTTACTTTTCTGATAAACTTTTAAATTTTTTTCTCAGTCAAAAATTATAATCAGTAATGCACAAAGATTTTAATGGTTTTCGCGTTTTTAATTTTCTATATTGAAATCGGGACTCAATTTAACGATATCAAACCTCGTTATATCAAAGATATCATCATTAAAGTCCCGATTGTATATTGATATCATACACCATTTCGAGCGTGTATATAAACATAATATTATATGCATCAGATAAGAATGACTCTTAGGGGAGGAAGTAATTACATAAGTTTTTTATTAAGCCACCACTACAATGTATATATATATATATAAGAAATTACAATAAAAAACAAATAAATTAGTTATAATTGATCAGTCATCTTTTAGTGCCGAAGCAGCATCAACCCCAGCGTGAAGAACGGTATTTGCTGCATGATCAATTTTTTTCTTTAATTTGCTAGTGGCTTGGTCAACGTCGCTTTGGTAAGTCAACAAGAAAGGGCGCAAGAATCTTCCATAGACGATTTGAGCGCCTTTGAATTGAGGAAGTGCGAGCCTTTGTTTTGATTAAATATTGAGTAAGAATGAAAAAGTGTTAATTATGAATTCAATTATGAATGGAAAACCACGGTTTGTGTAATTAATTACCAGAGGAAAAATAGAGTCTTGAAAAGGTAGTAAAAGGGCAACCAGTAAAGAATGATATCGGAAAAGAATTCTATAATGCTTACGAATCCGTATACCGTCCTATTATTTTATTTAAATTAATTTTTTTTCAATTATAAATTACAGTAAATGTTTAAGTAACATCTCTGCTTACCAATATGTTAACCATTGCGTATCGTCTGCTTTATCGATACTTTCGATAGCTTTGAAGGAAGCATATGCTAAAAAAAGGTGATGCAATAAAAAAAATTACGAAATTGAATATCCAATATTCATACAGCAATAAATTTATATATGATCCGATTTATCCATAATCTGGCGCAGTCACCAGATAAAAAAAGTATAGTTATAAAAACACGAAGCAGTACCTGGATACCCCCAAGCCAAAAGATTCGACAACAATTGTCCCCAAAAGTTAAAGAAAATCAGTAAAAAAACAATTGAGGCAGCACCACTAGCGAGATACGTTTTTGGAACGTTGGTAACTTGCTCCGCTTTGAGGGCATGCGGGTACTTTGAAAGTTCTTTGTCAAGTTGGGCATTGTAGTATTTGAGTTTTGCTGTAGCGACATCCATTTTTGTTTTTTTAAGCGTGAGAGTTAGATTTTTTTTAAATTTTTTTGAAAAAAGCAAAAAAATGAACTAAGATTGAAGGGATAGCTAATCCTCTTTATATATCGATATTGCGTTGTGTCAATAGACTTAAACATGAACACTGCATAAAAATAAATGGATCGATTTGTTATACACTTTTAAACATTATCACCTGACACTCATATAATGAAGACCTGGTTTCAAAGTTTCCTCTTGATTTACATCCTTTAATCGATGATACGGGACGATTGACGTTATAGTGTCACAGACAAGTCATATCTTCATTATGCCGTTGGACAAAAGCATTATCTTCACCAAGAAAAAAAAATCAACAGTGAACACATGAAGACCAACAACAATATATAAATAATAACTTCTTTTTTTGGTTGTGACTTGGCAAATGTTGATTCGTTATTATTAGAGTTCTTTGTATAAAAACAATAATTCATTATAAACACGATTCGGTGAAATCATTCATATCAAGTTAGGAAGATAAAAATTCTCGAAATTTTTAAGTAGTACACTGTGATTGAAGCAGTCTAACGTCTCTTGTACCTTGTCAATCTATCAACAAACAAAACTCTATACATTCCATTGTGCCGTTGTCTTTGATAACCGGTAAAAATCATGTTCACGTACTTATTCTACGCGAAACTTCCATATGATAAAAGCTTTTAAAAGCAGGAATAATTTTTTGGATCAAGGATAAACCCTCCCTAATTGTCTGATCTTTTATTTTGAATCAATTAATTCTCCTTTAAACTTAAATAGCTTTTTTACTTTCATCATGGTACTTAGGTACAGATATTTGATATTACGAAACTCGGGGATATAGTGAAGTTACTAATATAAAACTCGATCCGTGAGAATTTTTTTTAAATAGACTGAGCACTTCATTGCAAGATATTGAAAGTCCTGAACACGCAGAACTTTTGATTTAAATCGGGATTAGTCTATGTCCAATTGAAATGTGGCGCAGTTTTATTATGCCAGGAAAAATTTTAAGAACTCAGATTAAACACGTGACTAATAGTTGATCTCCATTTTATTATGACATCATGTCAATGTTAAATTGCATTACCGTATACAAAAGTTCCAAATACACGAACCAATTTCTAACTAAGAACGTCCTATATTAATAAAAAGCACTATACACCGGCCCACAAGTTCTAGGCCAATGCGGAAGGACTTTGTAATGACCGAAAACAAGAAATCCGGCGAGTTTCTTGTTTTCAAGACTTATTTGAAATGGAGGGTTTTTATTTTGAAACCTGGAATTCAATAATACAGGAAAAATGTTTAAATCTAATATTACACATTCTTATTGGTTTGTTATCGTGCAATGAGAGGTTTCTTATTTTCGGGGGTCCTGCTGTGTATTAAATTTTCGGCCCCCGAGTGAAATGTAAGTATATGTTGTGCTTCACGCGTTTTCCTTTAACTAACATCATATCGGCTGATGACTCCCAAACTGATATATTTTTTTGGCTGGAGTTATGTTAAACATCCAAACTCTGGCAGTACGCCTATCCTAATTTGGACCGACGCCTGAGGCACGACATACAAAACGCGTGTAGAAATAATCATGAATGAAGATATTCCTATTTATTAAGACCAACAATGCAATTTGTCATAAATAAAGAAGCGTAACATGACGCACTGTCATCACGCCTTCGCAAAACAAGTTCAAAGCATGAAACCTGCATGATTTTGAGATCTAATGTACAACTAAATTCATATATGCCTCTTTTGGTTCACTCTAACATTTTGTTCTCGACCAAACCAAATGTCTTCTATCTAAAATTTTCGAAGTGAAATATGTTCAATAAATGTAATAAATTAAATAGCAATCATCCTCATCATCATAGCCACCATCATCATCAGTATCGATATCCTTTATTCTTTTCCTTGTACAAGTTATTTTCAGTTTTATTGGGCATAAAACAACGAAATAACTATAACAACCATAGAACTGCACAAACTAATGAAAATATTACAAACCACAAGTATCTCTACATTAATTATAGAAATAGAGTATGCAAAAAACACAGCTGGTCATCACGACGACCACAACATATAACATTTAAAACTTTATGGACTCACCATACTCCAATAATAGATAATGCAGTAAACGCGCCTTATTACTCGCCAGACGGTTTATCAAAAACCCTTCACCTGAGTATATCGGTTATTTCGTCGTCACCTAGAAAAAAGCGACGGCAACATAGACATGTATATTCGTTACCGCCTGAGCTGAAAATTCGGTATAAAGTCTTACAAGAGCTAGGTTCAGGCGGTTTTGGATTCGTTGTCTCGGCCATTAGGCTTTCGGATAATCGTAAGGTCGCGATAAAATTTATTTATAAGAATAAAATACGTCGTTGGAATTACGACGAAGAACTTTCCATGGGTAAATTGATTTGATTTTCTACGTATACGTATTCATACATTCATATTAATAAACGGATCGGATGTTCAGATGTACCCATGGAAATATTCGTATTACGACGCGTCGATCCACATGAAAATATCGTGCAATTCGTGGAAATGATGGAAGATACAAATTTCTTTTATTTAGTAATGGAGTATCACGGCGCTCAATGGTCGTCGAATAATAATAATACATCATGCGATCTATTCGAATGTATGGAACAATATTCTGGGTTTCCCGAATCTCAGGCGCGTTATATTTTCCGACAAATCGTGGCGGCATTGTGTCATTTAGACGCGCTTGGTATTTATCACCGTGATATAAAATTAGAGAATGTAACGATAAACGAACATTTTATGGTGAAACTCGTAGATTTTGGAACGGCAGTGATGATTCCCAAAGGTGAATCGATAACTTTTGCTGGTTTAGTGGGAACTTGTAAGTGGCTCAATTTTATCATTCTAATTTATTTTAAGATTTTTATCCATTAAATCATTTGATATTTACTTTGTGAATTCCCTTTACGACAAGATTTTCCACCAGAAATGATTCAAGGAAGAGAATGGAATCCTTGTCATTCTCAAGTCTGGTCGCTAGGTATATTGCTTTACCGGCTTCTTTTCTGTATACCTCCGTTTGCAAATAAAAATGATATTTGCATGCATCCATATAGGATGCCGCCTCGAGAATACAGGTAAAAGATCATTTCTACGCATCAAAGATCTCTCTCTCTCTCTCTCTGCGTTATAATTTTACACTTAACAATGAATTCTTGTTCATAGTTACGAGCTAAGTGATCTTTTAGACAAACTATTAGAAAAAGTTCCCGAAAATAGACCGTCAGTTTGGGATGTACTGAATCATCCATGGGTAAACAAGACATCGGCATACACCAGATTTGGATCTTGGGATTTCTCGACTATCGAGTATATTGTTCTCAGTTTATGTGCGGCTTGGTCACCGTTGGGCGGAAGAAATTTTGGAGCGAATGTTGTTCGATGAATTATGTATATTTTGATTTCTTGTATATATGTAAAATAGTGTTTATAAATTTTTTTCCACATGTCAAATTTGTGTCCATACCTTCTGATTTCATTATCCCGCAGCCAAATAAACATTGAACGTGGTAAACATAAAACCCGAAGAGTAACCTAAACGAGGAGACATCCATTTTCGTACTTAATACTGATACGCTATTTGCTTAAATAACGATTCAATTAGTTCAGCCCTCTAGACCAAATAAAATATAGATCATTAACCCTCTAGTCTAATTTGGGCCAATTATTGTCGGGAATAATTGCGAAATGGTACACGATAACATATATCCCAATTATTAAGGATGTTGATTTTATTTATACTATAGCATTCAATCGATTGCGCCTTATAATTATAATATGTTTTACAACCGAAATTGCTTGAGTAATAAGATATTATCGTACCATTCTTAATCGTCCATTGTGAATTTGAGGATTTCATTTCCAATATGCAAGAACATATACATCTTCGTTGGGTGTGTTGAGAGATATTCATCTAATACACTTATCGGATGTGGATTTGACATGTTTGGTCCGGATTCAGCATTTGTTGGTTGATATTTTCTACCAATGGGACATAGGATTGGTATATTAAGTTTAAAAGTTGGTAAACTTAGTTGATGGGTCAAGTAATATTTCAAAAAATAGGATTGCAATAATTGAATTCGATTCGTTTTAAGAAATGCAAAGAATACTGTTTGGAAAGCAGTTTTGTGATTTTATTATTGGTTCCAAAGTGTCATATGAATAAATATTTAGAAATATATAATAAAATTACCAGTCTTATAACGATAATCAGCCGAGGTATTTGACACTATCATTTCTCGAATTTCAACGAATTTCAACGCCAGGATCAAATACAAAAATAAATCTCCATAAAATCTTTTTAATTCCTCATAACAAGGTTGAGACTGATGACTGGCAAACCTCGAACTTTTTTACTACCTCTTAATCACAGCAAGATTTTAATTAAAATGAGCTACGCATTTTAGTATTATGATAAATCACCATTTCCTAATATATTTCGCTTATTATTTCATTGTTCTTATCTTTTACTTGTATTAAAAAAGAACACTCTCAATTCACTGTCTTTACTGCGAGATAAATTATCCATTTCTCATGAATAGGTTATTTTTTATTTTATTAATGTTATTAGGTTGGATTTAATTTATTACAGAAAGTAATAGTTTAGTGGATCATTGTCCGTAAATTCATTCTGCCTCTTTCGCCTGAATCTATGATATTTCTGATTTTCTGTGACTATCTAAATGTTTGATAAAAATAATGATAATAATCAAATGAGTCTATTTAAAAATAATAAAATTGTTAATATGATTGTGTAATCTTCTATAATAAAACTCAAGCAAAAATTATCATTATTGTCGCGATAATTGATTATATTATCATTGTATAAGTTATTATACTCTGTCCGTAATACTACTAAATAATACAAAAAAATCATCGGACAAAGAAAATCTAAGTTTATGTAAGACTTAATTTTTTTTTAATTTTTCTGTTTTCAAAAAAAAAGTACACAGTATTAATTTTGTGTGTGTATTGTAAATGTGTGTTGTTAATTGCTTGATGCGTTTGTGAATATTTTGTTGGGGACAGTGTTCGTTTTTGGAGTGTTTGATTTTAAATACGAGAATTAATGTGCCATTGAGAAGAGAATTATTTTAAAAGAATTGAGTAATGACGATAAAAGTCTATGACCTCGATTAAAAATGTATTGAACGACAAAAGAATGATAACAAAAAGAGCCCGAAGAGAAAAACCAGTTACGTCTTCGTTCACCAATAATGTCTTGTTAAAAAGTGTTGTGATGTTGATGATGGTGATAATGTAAAAGTTAGGTAAAAAATATTCTATCTGGTAGAATTGATATAATTTGTGTTTGTGTTAACGAAAAATGGAAATTCTATTTATGCTCTATATATTGTTATTGTAATAAATTAAGAAAAATACGGGTTATTATGAATGCAAAAAAATATTACACGTGTGAAGTAGGAAATGAATAATATGCAAAGGTTGAAGGAAATTTCAACCGGGGGGGGGGGTGATTAAAAAGAGCGGAAGGGAGATCAAAAAACCATCAATGCTACGTGTTCTTACAAGAGGAATTTCGAAATTATTGGTTATATTTTAAATTATATATAATAATACAACGTGAATTAATGGAAGACGCAACGTGATTTTTATGGGACGGACATTCTTCTTTCCAAGGATTCCAATCTTTCCTGTAAAGCACTCAACATACTAGGATAATCTTTGAAGTTATCTGATCCTCCCCCGTTCATAGTGGCAGATAATGGCGGACTAGCACCACCAACAGCTGGATGTACATGAATTGGGGGAGTATAGAGGGATCTTGAAGCATAACTACTATTTCCACTATAAGTAGTGGTGGAGGGGCGATGATTGAGATGATGATGATGCGGGTAACCCATATCATAACTGGCGGAACTGATATCACTAAAGCGCCTATCAGGGTCAAGAGGTGGACTAAGACTCATACTCACAATAGAACTTTGTCGTAATTCTTTTTCTACTTTGGTGATACGTTTTTCAAGTGTCATCAAATCTTTAACAATGTCTCGCTGCATCTCTCTAAAGTGTCCACGTACTAAACTTTCAACCATGGAACCGGATGCTTGAAGTGTTTGCAGCAGAGTTGAAGATTTTCGAATTTGATCTTCGAGAGTTGATTTGAGATTACGGCTATCAGCAACGGTATCATATAATGAATCAAATAAATTTATGAAAGATTCTTTGTTATTTCGGTCTGCATGGACCAAGTCATGCGATTGTGCCATTGAGGAAGACGACTCCTCTTCTTGTTGTTTAGCATTACCGGATACTCCGGGGGAAATGATATTTGCTGATGATGAACTCGAAGATGGAAATTCAACATTCTGTGGAGAAATGAGACCATTGATACTAGCACTCCTTGACGCTGAATGCGTGCTATCACTAATGTTATTATTCTTAATTGATTGTGCTGGACGAAAAGCAGAATTGGCAGAGAGCGGATATCCAGAAACACTAAGTCTTGATGAAGGACGGCTATTCATTGTTGGTGTAATTGGAGTAGCAATAGGTGAATTACTGTGACTCAAGTTATAGTTATTTGGAGATTTTTGCTGTGCAGGTATTCCGCCACGTAATGGACTAAAACGTGCAGAGCTTGACGAGGAAATGTTGTTCACTTGTCCATTATTGTAAGGTGGCGCAATTACACTAAGATTTCTCGAGTTTCTTTTGTTATGCGTACGCTTTAAAATTGTTCCGGTATTATTGGCTTTCTCCAAACCAGCAGCACTACTGCTTTTAGAGACAGCAGCTGAATGTCGTCTATCATTTTGCTGCTGGTTTTGCAAAATTTGTTGCTTCTGGGCTTGTTGCCTCGCTTCTATGATAGCTTTTTGTTGTTGTTTCAATTTCAGCGTATTACGAACTTGTTCCATAACTTCTGGATTATTGGTCACTTTAATATTATTCGAAGTGATTGGTGAAATCGTAACTTTCCTTTTCTTTCGCATACGTGTGTCATCATCAATCAATGGAGATAGATCTGTTGTTGTTGATGCGTTTGGAGATGCAGGTGATTGAGGAGATGATTTTGAAAAGTGGTTTGGAGATGATGGGTTGGATGAATGTTCACTTCCCGAAAGAATTGGTGATGATGATTCTTGTTTGATCAAGAGATTTCCTCTGAAATTATTTTTTAAGATGATTAGTAGGTATTTTAAGTATTTTTATTTTTATTTTTTTTTAGTCAACCAGACACCGTCGACATCTTTATTTCCAACATTTTACACACGCATGATTATCTAACGAACTAACCTATCTGATCCATTAGGAGAAACAATGCGTTCGACCGGCGACGCTATCCTTGATGTATACTTTCTGTTATCAGATTCATCATTATCAAGAACTTCTTCAAGTGACATGCGTTTTCTTGTGTTAACAGGAGAGGAAGGGGCACAAAGATGATGTTCAGTGGATGATGACGATGGTGAAGACGTGATCAATGGTGAGTATTCACGAAATGAATGTGGTGGACTATGCTGAGTTGATATTCTAGGGGTCAATGTGGGTGACGGTATTATATTGTTTCTAGAGTCCATGGGGACAAACTCAAACTCTGTCTCGACAAAAGGCCCTCGAGAAATTGAAATACTATTTAACAAATGCTCAGCGTGACCTGCTAATATTTCTTGTCTACCCAATTTACAAAATTCCGCTAGCAAACGGTTACCAAGTCGAGTGGCGGTTGAATTTAGAGCACGAGCCGACAAATATAAATCTCCTGAACATTCCTGAACACAGTAGCCAGGTGTATCGAAATACACTTTCGGTATCTTTCCCGAATTATAGATATATCCAACGCGTGACTCAAAAAATAACACGTCTAAATCTCGTAGACGATAAAATCCTTGTGTCTGTTGTGAATCTGCCCGAATGGGTGACAAAGAGCCTTCTTGTGGTGGTATGGGGAACGAGTATAAACAGAAAGGTTGCTGGTTGGCGTAAACACCAAGTTGCAATCTGGTGACTTGCATAGTTAATGGATTCTTTTAATGGTTAATGGTAAAATGAATGTGAAAAAATAGTTGGAATGGGGCGAAAGTTAATGGAGTATGGTTAGGGAGGGTTAGGAATTGCTGAAACAGCGGTATGAAAGCGGCAAACGGTTAAGGATGGATTGTTTCAAGGAGGGGAGGAGAAAAAGGAAGAGTAGGAATAAGAGAAGGAGAAAGAATAAAAGAAAGTGAAGTTTCGGACGAACCGACAGTTAAAAAAAATGATAGAAAGTGAATAAAGAAGAAAAGAATAAAGTTGACAAGGATTAAATACCACTTTGTGATCCCTAGAGTTGGTTAGCACAGCAGTCAAATAATATATGAATAAAAACAGACCAATAATAGACAAGAGCCGGTTTGTGTTTTTCGCGGTGGTAGTTTTGAGCTGTTTTGCTAAACAAACAAAATGTGTTGGATGATAATAATAGTAATAATTGAATAATATTAATTTATTGCGTACAGGGGATTAATAGTAACAAAGGTCTTTCCAAGACCCTTCTATTACTATTTAGCGAGAGAATGGATTAGAGAGGGGATGAAATAATGGAATGCGTGCAATATCGATATGTGTTGATTCGGTTTCAAGAATTCATATTTATTCGTATTTCGAAAAGCTTAACTTCTATATCGGTGTTATACAACATCTGTAAATTTCTTTAGTCAATAATTCGGTACAATAGATTCTGAGAACTCGGGATTTTCATTGTTATTTATTTTTTCGTTTCACGGCTAACATGTAATCTGTATCTTTAATATTGTTTAGGAAAATTACCCGACATTTCAGAGATTGATTGCCTTTTTATTTGATAATCTTAATATGGGAATACAAAAAATAGAGTTTTATTTAGTTCAATAAATTTATGAAAATTTATGAAGCTTTATTCGTCATCACAATTAGTATTATCGTTATTATTGTAAATGTTATCGTGTAGTAGTATTATTTATAGTTATTATCGTTATTATTACTATTACGATGATGATGCAATCTAGAATTTTATATAAGCGATTTCGAAAAATTATTATAATTCGAAAGAGGGAAAAAATTTCTACAACCCGAAAGATATTTAACATCCTTTACTCACTTGCTCGAGGAATTAAGGGTTTGAAAAATGGATTGGATGAATGATAATTTTAAATTGTAAAGAAAGAAGAAAAAAAATCTACACGAAAAAGAAAAGAGAAATGAAAATCTAGTTTACGTTATGAATTACTGATAAAAAATCTAAGGTATATATGTATTGATAAACCGTTTGGTTTACATTTACTTTATTTATACGGATAGAAAGAAACAATGCAGAAAAAATAACTTCAAAAAAGTTGACATTGCTGTTGTTGTGGTAGTTGCTGCTGATGCGACTGTTGCCCTGACTCGGATGTATTGTTGTTATGATCGCTGTTATTATTGTTGTTACTATTATTATTGTTACTGTTGTTGTTATTATTATTGTTATTGTTGTTATTATTGCTGTTATTATTATCATCATCATTATTATTACTATTACTATTATTATCACTCGTGGTTGAGTGATTTCCCTCAATTCTATTGTCTGAGGTAATATATGTCGAATTTACATATGTAGTTCGCGTATCATTCATCAGCGATGACATTTCTTGTGATAATTGAGTGGGATCATCATCCATTAGCTGTTCCGCTGATGTTGGTGGTGGAGGTGGTGGCGATGTTTGTTGCCGTTGATCCTTATTTCCTTCACCACTTTGATCATCGCCACTATACATCATATCTTCGAGGCCTTCTTCGAATCCCGAATCCATTCGTTCTTTTTTCCTCTTCTCGTACCATTGATGTTTACGTTCTTTGCCTTTTAACGATTGCAATTCTTTAAGTATTTCCTCACGCTCTTTGTCTAAACCTAAAATAACATGATGAGCTTTCTCTGCTCCCTCTGTATCGCCCATTTCACTTTTAGTTCGTTTTGTCTCCTGCATAAGTTCATACTGATTATCTTTAGCTTCCAGTTTTCGTTCCAGATCTGCAATACGAGCATTACGATTCTCACTGGTCATCACCGCGTTGGCGTTCCGTTTTGCGCGTAATACATCACGAGATGCTCGTTGACCAGGTTTAGGCGCATTCGGATTCAATTTTGATCGAGATGCACCACGTTTATACGAGTAGCCCTCGAGCAACAGTTTCGCTTTCGCTTTCTCGAATAGTGATCCTTTGTGCGTTACAAGTGTTGGATCGGCGAGAGCGAGGTCGATAGCAGCCCGATTGATTGCTTGTTCGTATTGTGTCAGCTGCCTAGGACTATTTTTGCCGTAGATTGTTGCGTGTTTTACGATTGCTTCGTGTGATACGGTTGGATTTTTTATGAACGTTCGATGGCTGGAAGAAATACTACCATTCTCGCTATTGCTATTGTTAATGATACCATTGTTGCTGCTACTACTAATAATAAGACTATTGGTGGTAGAGTTTGAATTATTAGAATTGTTAGTGTTGGAAGATTCAGTAATGAGAATTGAAGAAATTGGAGATTCAGCTTCTGAATTTGAGATATTTAATATAGAAGGCGATGCTGATGCTGATAAAGATGATGAAACGGAATTTGTCAATGAAGATGATGTCATTTTTACTTTTTTCCGCGGTGGCGTAGTGTTATTATTGTTAGTGTTATTATTACTACTATTGCTACTCGGCATACTAAGAATATCGTTATTAATATTGTCGCTGATGGGGTTATTACCATCGTGAATTGAACTAATTGGACTAGTTAGAAGGGTAATCTTTGGTGTCTGACTATGAATTTGCATGGGTGCAGTCAAATGTGATGGTGAGGGTGACAAAGGATGTTGCGGTGACATAGTCATTGGGTATTGCGAAGGAGGAAAACAATTATTGTTGTTGGCATTGTTATACGCTTTGAAATCTCTCGGATTATTGATGCTCATATTCGTCCTTAATTCTCTTATCCCTTTTTTAAACAAGCCAGAATGAAATGGTTTCATCAAAATCGCCTCTAATACCTCTTTTAACTCCGCCTCATCAAAACCAATCAATTGCTCTACATCATTCTCCCCAACGCCCGCTTCGACAAACCGATTATGATACTGGGTGAGGTTAAGCTGGTGAAGAAACTCGGTCAACGTAGGACAACGAAACACGCTACTAGAATTACTTGCATGGGTCAGGGATATTGAAGGAACAATAGCGGTCGGAGGAGAGGTGGTAGTGAATAATGGTATATTATTTGGCGCTGTTGTGTAGTATGCAGCGGCATTGGGAGCAAAATTTGCACTGTTTATGTGGTGGTGCGCCGTCGTTGCGTTTAAAGGGGTAGAGGAAGAGGGGCCAACGAAGGTGGAACGACCTGTTGTTTCTTTATTTCCGGTGATTGGTGGGGTTGCCATTTTCTGTTTGTTTAAAGCAGTAGAATAAATGTGAAAATACGTTACCATTTTTGTATATTCTATTGGTAAACATATTGACAAACATGCCTACACGCACAATGCAGACTGAGAAAGAGATTGTCTATATGGAAGATTAGGTTTTTAAATATCATTATTATTCGTCTCTTGCCGCTACTATTTGCTACTTGACTACAAAAGAAGTTCGAACGTGGGGAAGAACTGGTTGACTTACACTTTATCTTGTGGTTTATTACGCGAACCGTGTTTTTTTTTTGGTTTTGGAGAGTCAGTGGTCAGTCAACTGCTCTGACGCTCGTTTGTATTTTTTGTAGCGCAGTGGTTGTTTTGTTTAGTCGTGGGAAAGTCATGTCCCTTTTTATTGTTATAAAGTCATGTTACATAATTAACAACAATAGATTTCAGTTGATTGGCTCTTTCACAATAATAAACAATCATGTTTAACCAAAACAATGAGCGAATATCGGATATCGGAGAACACCGAATATGGATGTGTATGCATGTAGTATTCATTCCTCTCTCTTCTTACCTTTCAGGTCGGTCCGTCGTTGATAGTTTACTTAATTGACGCAGTTTGTTGAAAGCTAGCATAATTTTGAGATTGGGATAGAGGTGTAGAAATTTGACTTTGACGACAATTAAAATTCTTTGGGTCATATTAATTAAGGTTAAAGTTCAAATATTAAAAAAAAAAAACGCATATCCTCCCAAAGACCAAAAAGACCCAAGCGGAAAGAATGATCATCCCCGATGCTAATAAATCTTCATCAGGCCAAATTATATTATTAATCGATAATGCGCGTTATGTGTAAAATGTATATATGTATGCTTATAACAAATAATATTAAGGTTATCTTACAGTGGAGTATATTTCGATGTTTATTGTAAAAAGGGGAAACGGCGTTGTACTTGAATTAGATTAAGCAAATTAAAAGGAGTGAATTAGGTGAATAAATTCAAAGAAAAAACGTCACTTCACTCTTGTTTCAATTTATCACTTCAAAAATAGTAAATTTGATTGTAGAAATTTTGTCTTTCATTTCTTCTAACAAATAATATCATCAGTATTATAGTTTCTTTGAACACATCAAATCTTCTCGCGTTATAAAAATCTCTCACTCATCAAATAAAATTCCCTAATGACAATGATTATTTTTCACTATTAAAAGTCCAAAACTTTATCATGTAATCCCTCCAAATATCTAAACAAACTTCCCTTCTTCTTATCCCATTGATTATGCCAATGATACGCAAACACCTGAAGCAATTTATCCTTATTGAATTCATACTCATCAAAAGCGCTCGGCATTGAATTGCTCGGATGACAAACAGATGGATCAGTAAAACACCAAGGAAGCACCTTGAAAGGTTTCTTCCCATTCTGAATTAATCTTCGAAACACTTTATAATACAGACGACTTCCCCAATCGATAGTGTCCTTCCTGGGTGGTGGTCCATGAGCCATTTCCTCAAGTAATTCACATACATATGGTGATTTTTCGCGGAATCGCATGAATGCTCCATTTAGCGGTGATCCATCGGGCAGGAAACAATCCCATTGTCCAACCCATTCATGTTCAGTTAACGGTGACAAGTCACGAATGAAAAGCGAGTCCATGTCGAACCATACGCCGCCATATTTGTATAGTACTAACAATCGTATCAAGTCACCATCGAGATATGCATGTTTATCCTGTAGCTTCAAATTCGACGAATTCTCAATCGCCGTACCTTTTGATTCTACTTCAGGATCATATATCTTCGTTTGAAATCGATCCGGGAATCGTTCAAAGAACGGCTGAAGAAGTTCATTTTTCGAAAGATCACCATTCGACCATAGTATCAGCGATGAGTAATTGCTATCTTGTGTCGCAAAGAACGAACGTAGCGTAGCCACCTGTTTATCCCCTAACGGTCTTAGATCAGCGCGCCAATATGTATGAAAAGTAAGATGTTCCTTCGGTTGACCAGCTAACATTTTAATACCTTCCGCGAAATCATAGCAGTCCCACCCGCTAGTCAGCGGAACGGCCGGGTGAACTTCATTATAAATTGGTTTGGTCAGATTTTCCTCTGGAATGTTGTCAAAACACCCATACAAGTTTTCGTTTCGAAACTCCTCCTTCACCAGCCATTCGCGCAAGTATACTCGCATGTTTAGGTGTAACTCGCATGTTGAAAAGAATACGATTACCCCCAAGATGACAAGTAGTATCGTTGTCTTAAGAATCGTTATGCATTTTACCCGTTTGGGGGATTTTGGCCATGGTGCATTCAACCGAATGTAAGGTATTGTGGCCATGACTCTTTAACTGCCAATTTTGTTAGTTCGTGGTCTTTACCAATACTGCTTCTAGCTTACTACTTATCACTATATTGTACAAAATCTTGAAAAGGTTTGCCCTAGTTTCGCGCCGAGTAATCCAAGTTCAAAAGGTACGGCTTCAACGATAAAAATATATAATTAACAAAAAAAAGGACCGGCAAAATAAATATGGACCTTGGCAGTGCAACGTTGAAACCGGAGAAATGGTTCCAAAATCATACCTATTCGTCATTTTTGCGCAATTTCCTGAATTGGCGTGGTGGATCTTTGAGTACTGTCGCACACTAAGAAACGAGTTTTTTCATAATTCTGGTTGGTGCGTGAAGAGTGGCTTTAAGCTTTCGATTTGATTTCAATAGCACTATTTTTTGATTGATTTCTTTTTTAGCTCCAAAAAAACTAAAATCATTTCGTCCCTTCAAATTACATTATGAAAATATCCAATGTGACAGAAAGCCTAATATCAGAAAAAATAATTGAACCGAGCTCGAACCGGACTTGAGTCTTAGTTTCGAGAATCGAATCGAACTCGAACCAGACTTTTTTGAGTTCAAAGATTGTATTCTTGAATTTTGAATTTTTTCAACTACTCCAGCTATCCCGATTTTGCCTTCACGTGATCTTTCCGATCTCTTATTTGAAATTATTTGATTACATTGAAATGACTAAAATAATTTATTTTTTTAATTACTTTTAAAAAATATTAGAGATTTCAAGCTTTAAAATAATATATTAATTATTTTATTTGAATATTGATAAAAATAGAATTTTTTCGAAAATTAAAAAATTCATGTTTTTCTTTTAAGTCATTATGATGTGAATGGCCTAAAGTCATCAAGTATTTTGAACTGCAAAAGCTCTACATATAAATATGTAATCACAAAAATAAATGCATTGCTAGATAGCCTTGGATAAGATCTATAAATCAATGCAATTTTTTTATAAAATATATTAGTAATTTATTGAGTAGTTAGAATTTTTCTTTGATTACTTCTAATAGAATCTAATATACAATTAGAGAAATTTTTAGTACTAGAGATTTTTTTCTGATTGGATAGAGCTTACGTATTATCACGTGAATAAGATGATTGATTTTTATAATCTAACAAATAAGAGGAAGTATGCTTGATAATATTATTAATTTATTTAAAAATCATTGATCATTTTTTATTTAAAGAGAAAAAAGAAGAGATATTTGCTTACTAAACTTCTCAAACTCTTCTTTGCTAAATCAATCAAATAGTCAAACTAGCTTGATTATTTCATATAGTCAAACTCTTTCAAAATACTATCAGAAACTTTATGATATAATTTATACTTTTTCATGGCAAAGATAATAGTTTTATCTGAAAAATCTTATTTATAAATACTCATATATCAAGCAAATTAATATGTATAATGACAAATCTTAATCAGAGTAACTGATTTTAATATTTACAGAATAATTTTCTTGAGACTCTTAAAAGAATAATCATAATACAAATATAAATACTATTTTATCTCTTCTTAAAATAATTTAATAAAATTGAGCTTATAATGAAACTTTGAGTAAAAAATATATATATAACTAGTACTTTAATAATCTTTTACAGATGATTCTGTTAAAATGTAAAATTAGGCTGTTGATCAAGAATATTAGTTATATAATATTATAATTTTATTAAATTAAAAGTATGTAATTTGTAAGTATTATATTTTTTTATAAAATTTTTCATTTATAAATCACACTTTTTAAGAATTTGTCAGATATTCTTTGATTTAATTTTATTATTAGTATCAATAAATATCAGAATATAATAAAAACTATTAAATATCTTATTATTACAAAAAAGTAATTATTTATTATTATTTTTCAAATTTATTTGTAAAATAATCAGAGTATTATCAGTATATACATTATAATTATAATTATTAAATATGAAGAATATAACTTTGCTAAAATATATTCTCTTAAAAATTAGAATAACTTTATTAATTATTTGCTTTATAAAATTTTAATTTGTTTATTAGTCATCTCAATTAGAATCTAAATGTATAATAATATAGATCTCAATATATAAAAATTAATTATTATCAGAAAGTAAGTTATTTATAGCTTGATTTTTTGTTAAAAGATAAAAATATCTAATTGATTCACAAATGAAATCACTCATATAGATATTAAGATCTTGTGACTTGTATTAGAACTGGTTTTCTTTTGCTAGATTTCAGATCTTAATGATATTATAATTAATTATAAATAACTGAAATAAGTTCAAGAATATTATGTAAAAATATTAATAAGATAATTTAATCTATATTTTTTCTCTTGTATATTATAATCTGAAATTATAAATTTACTATTTATTCTAAAAATTAGTTTTAATAAGTTATCATATTATTATACTTATAACTATTAAAGTAAATATTTTTTGAATAGTTCTTATAATTCTAATTAAATTAATATAATCATTCCTAAGCTATTATTTTATTAATCTTTCTTTTTATCTTAATTTTAAGATTAGGTAGAATCTCATTCTTAACAAACTTAATAAATTTGTAAATAATTACTATAAACTTATTTATATATAAATATTTAATAATATATAGTGGTGATCATAAATAATACAATACATAGGTAAAAATTTTTAAATTTAATTATTTTCAAAAAATAACTAATAAAATTTAAATTAAATTACTAATTATAATAATTTAATAATTAATTAAATATAATTTTATCTTTCTTAATTTTTTTAGCTATTAATTATAAAATATATAAATAAATTTCATGAAATATATATTGTACTATTTTTAATATTTTTTGTATTAATCAGTATTATATATTTAAGACTAACACAAATATAATTAAATAGATATTTTTTTGTTAATTTATTTTAGCAAGCTTCTTGAAATATATAAAAAAAACTAAATGTTATACTATATTAAAATAAAGAATAGAAATTCCTATTATCTTCAAGAAAAATTATAGTATTAGAAAAATAGTATGAAAATAAAATATTAACACTTTTACTATTATCTATATTAAGCAAAGATGGCAGAAGAAATATATTTTTATTAATATTAGCAAATCTGATCATCCACATATGATAAATAAAAAACTAGAATGAAAAATTATTAATCTTATTCTTTCTTATAGATGCTTAATAACTATTGAAATTTGAAATTACTTTTATAAAACTGAAAATATAGATATTTTTATATTTATTACTCATTATATACTTAGTAATTATAGATTAATATTAAGAATAAAATATAAAAAGCTATATCTAAAAAAAAATAATAAAAATGCAGATTTGATTTTATAAAAAAGTATAAAAATTAGATCAAAAAAGATTGAACAAAAGTAATCTGATTAGATAAATTAAAGTTTAATATTTTTGGATTAGATAGGTATGAGTATTATTAAAAAAAAGAGCAAATTATTAAAGAGCTTATATATTAAATCTATTATTAAATTTAATAGTGAGAAAATAATAATATAGAATTATTTTATTACTTATGAAGTTAATAATTTTTATAAAATTGATAACAGAATGAATAGTATATTATATAGGAAAATTCTTTTAAAAGATTTTCAGAAATTATTAATAATTTTACTTATATGCTAAATAATATCATTTTTTAATAGAATAATAATTTCAAATATATTACTATTAAAATTTATTAATAGTTTATTAATAATAAAGTTAATATTCTTGATCAATTACTGTAATCTCTAGATCTTAATCTTATTAAATATTTATAGAATATTATTAATTATTATTTATATTATCTTTTGAGATTAATTTTAAAGAAAGAAAATTTATAAGAGAAAATTCAGAATATGTAGAATGATATTGATATTAAGATATATATCTATTAAATCTATATCAAAAAGAATTATTAATATAATAAAAACTTATAATGACTATATAAGATGATAATATAAATTAAAAATAAATAGATTTAAAAAAATATAAAAAAGTTAAAATTTTGATAGTTATTTATCAATTTTTTTTTATTTTATTCAAAAAGTATAAATATAATATAATATCAAAAATTAAATATATTTGATAGTTACAAAAAATTTAACTAAATAAAATTATTTGAATTAGTAATATTTTAAACTATAGGATTATATTATTTAATCATATTAATAATAATTGTAATACTTTTAATTGTAAGATGATATATTTATTTGAAAATTTTCATTTGAATATTATATTATTTTTAATTACTATATAATATAATCAGATAAATATTAATAAATTATTTTTTTAAAATAAAATTTTTATTCTCTCTTATTTAATTAAATTATTAAATATTAAGATTTATTTAAATATAAAAATTTTTATTATATATCTTTTATAAAAAATTTTATTAATATATAATTAATTTATATAAAAAAATAATAATTATAATATATATTAATTATTATAAAATTTATTAATTATTACTTTATTAAAATAATATTATTTAATAAACTTTTTTATTATTTATTAATTTAAAGTAAATTTATTAAAATTAATTAAAATTAGTATAAAATATAATTTATAATTATTTTATTTATATTAAATTAAAATTTAATATTTAATTTAATATAAATAGAAAAAATAAATAAAAAATTATTTATATTATAAACTTTATTTATATATTATAAAATTTAATATTATATATATAATAGTAATTAAAAATAATGACTCAGAGACTAAATTTATTAATAAAATACAGTAAAAATTGAAATTTTCTCTTTATATTAAAATTTATAATTTTATTAAATAATTTTCATTTTTATATTAAAATAAAGTTTATTAGTTATAGTTTAACATATATTTTTTTAAATTTTTTAGATTTTTTCTGAAATAGTTACTCTAATTATAAAGTTAATATAAAAATTTTTATTAATTAAATTTTATTTTTAATTAGTAAAAACTTTTGTATTAACTTTATAATTAAAGTAACTCTTTCAGAAAAGATCTAAAAAATCTGAAAAAAAT